CCGTTCGGTGCCGTGGAGGCCTACCATGGCGGCCGCGGCAAGAATCACCTTGCCAACGTCGAGAGCAAGTTCGCAAGCGGTGAGAGAGAGAGAGAGAGACGCTGCAATTCTTAACACACATGCACACCAGCCAAGTACACACACCTCTGTGTGTGTGTGTGTGTGTGCAGGCGCTCTGCGTATTGTCGTGGCGACGAGTGCGTCCTGTGTGAACCTGATCAACACGGGAGTGCTGAATGGCCTGATCTACTACAGCACGCCGCAGTCCTTCGAGGCACTGAGGGCTGAGCTGACGGCCTGGGGGTCAGCCTGCCAGGATGGTACGTCCTCTCACAGACACGCACAGAGAGCCCATATGGCTGTGAGGGGACGACACAGCCACACGTGTGTGTATGAGTGTGCTGATACACATAGGTGTGGTATGCTGTGGTGCCTCTTGTAGCCGAAGGAAAGTGCCATGTGTTTCTGCGCCCCGAGGAGCTGATGACGGTGCACAGGGCGACCAGCGAGCCGTCCGTCGACCCGTGGGCCGCACCCTCACCGACGGCAAATGGGATCTCACCAGTGGTGAGTTGATTGAAAGAGACACGGCTCACAGATACGGAGACACAATATAGTCTCCGTCGCTGTATGCGTCAGATCGCCGCCTACATTTCATATATATCTCAAGACTCTTTCCCACGCGTCACTGCCCATGCAAGAACGGAATGATGCCTCTGGCGAGAGTACGTGGAGAACTGGTACAGGACAACCATTTCAGAGGACCCGAAGGACATTGAAGACTGGCCAAACTTCGACGACGACCCCGTCGTCTTCATGTGGAAGCTCTGGGAGATGAAGGTGCACTTCATCGACGTAAGTTACACACGTGCTTCAAGATGGAAACAAACACTCTTGGAGAGACCGAGCATATGTCCATCATCGTGAATAATGCAGGAGTTCGAGCTGCGCTTCAACGCCCTCTCCAAGAACCGCTGCCACGCCATGCTCATCCAAGCCTCCATGCGGCCACCAGGGCACCTCTGAATCACAGCTGCGCATGTGCTGCTGTATGTCTGAGAGGTCTGCTCATTCATGGTGTGTGCCTGTGTTGTCATCAGAGACAGAGGAAGACCCGCGACGAGTTGGAGGCGGAGCTGGCCGAGGCCAAGGCGCAGTTAGTGACGGTGAGGGAGGATGCGCTCAAGGCAGAGAAGGAGGCGAGCAACACCACCGACACACTACCCGAATCCCCGCCCTCACCACCCGAAGCCCCAGCCCAGCAGACCAGCCGACCCACTATTCCAACTAAGAGAGGCGGGAGTGCCTGGGGCTAGAAGGATATGGCTGCCTGCATTTTATATTTGCTGATGTGTGCTGTGCATCAGTCGTGCCTTGTTGGCGGTCCTCGAGTGGCGAATCGTACACATGGTCGACCCGGACCTCAACGGCCCTCCCGTCGTCACGCCGCTAGCCGCAGACCGCAGTGGGTGGGGGGCTGCTGCGGGTGACGGCAGTGGTGACGGCAGTGGTGGCAGCGCACAGCTGGAGGATGAGAAGGTGGGGATTCTCCTGAGCATGGGGCTCGAGAGGGACCAGGCCGAGTGCGCACTCGTCAAGGCCGCGACAGGTAAGGGACTGATGAGTCGTATATTCGTCTTCGCCGTTTTGTGTGTGTCAGATCGCCGCCTACATTTTATATCTGAAAACCCTTTCTTCCCCAGACGCCCACGACACAGCGCTAAAGACTGACAGGAATTTGTCACGAAAGGGAGACGCATACAACGTGTCTATGTGTGTGTCTCGCCAGGGAAGTGGACAAGGCGCCTGTCGTACGTACTTGTCCAAGCAGCTGCTGCCCAAGGAAGTCGAGACAGGTACAAAAGAGAGGCGTACCTTTTGCATTGTCGGTCTTCTGATGGCGTGAACGGACCATCGTGCGGGCGGTGTCCGCTTTCGTGGCTGAGTGTGCAGGTGTTTTTGGTCTCGATTCTACGACAGCAACGGGACAAAGCAGCACGAGAGTCGTCGAAGGAACAAGACCGATAAAGTGGCTGCGAATGGATAAGTCCTTTGCGTATCGAAACCCCGATATGTGTGTTTGCAGTCAAGTCCCATCGGCGTTAGCTTTCCAGAGAAGCTCGTCATCCTCAACGAGTGGTACATATGTCTGTCGAGACACGCACACACACACAACACACAATTGCCTCCGCGTCCTTTGCAGAGAGGAAGGTTAGGGGTTCATGTGGCGATGGCCGTGGCAACGCGCAGCAGGCTCGCTCGTCGCGAGGCCAGAGGACCGGTGCGAGGGAGGAGAGATAGGTGTGCCACTCAATTGATGGATCCACTAACTTGTTTGCTACATACACGTTGGATGCATGTCTTCATTCGTGCGTATGTGTGTGCGTGCGTGCGTCAGGGCTCGTGTGGCGAGGTTGGAGGCATGCTTTCTGTCCCTGTACTGGGCAGCGACTGCGGGCAACATGCAGCAGAGACACGAGAAACTCGAGACGCTTATAGAGGTGGGTGGGTGTGCATCCAGGCAGCGCAGCGCAGCGCAGCGCAGCGCACACAAATGAGATACATAGACGTCTGACTCCTGTCCCTCTCATTTTGCCGGTCTACTGTACCTGCCTGCCTGTTGCTTGTTGTTTGTTTCAGGCATACCAAGAGCACACGGCTGATGACGACCCTACGGCCCCCTTGCCCACAGACAAGTGCCATGCTCTGGGAGCGGCCCATCTGGGCCTGACCTCGTCAGACGCCGAGGTGGTGAGGGACGTCAAGCGAATTGTGGCCGACACGAGGGTGGACATTTCGGCTGAGCGCACCGCTGCATTCGCACACGTATGTACATACCCACAGTGAACGAAGGAAGGAAATGCATGTGATGCACACGCCACCGCAGCACGTGTGTGTATGGTATGTATGTGTCTGTTGGTGGTCGGCCTTCTGGCTGCGTGTGTGTGCAGGTGTTGCCTCGCGACTGCCCCGCCCCTTCTGTCAGCCGCCAGACGGCCGACAGATACCGCCAGAAAGTCGCCGATACCGTCATATACGAATCAACCCGCACCCTCAAGAACATGTAGGCAGGCAGGCAGGCAGGCAGGTAGGCACACACAAAGACAGACACAAAGACAGACAGACTGGGATGGATGGATGGTTGCGTGTGTGTTGGTGTGCGTGTGCCAATCCAATAGGGAGTTTGTGTACTCGCCGGGCGATTCCCGGATTGCAGCTGTCAACGTATATTCCCCCCTCCCTGTCACCCCCGTGTGTGTGGCCCGGGCGCTAGCCAAAACCCAGACCGACTCACTGGTGAGAGAGAGGAGCCAATCGCACCCCACGCTCTTTGACATAGATAGAAACATGCTCACGAACGGCCGTGTGTGTGTGTGTGTGTGTTGTGCTGTTGATCGATTGATTGATACATTGGCTGATTCATTCAGCGTTCGGCTGTCCGTGAGGCCCTGGACCCCATGGGCATGGGCGTTCCCGAGATGGCCAACCTCCCCTTCGACTTTTTGCTGGGGGCCTCGCAGCTGGCCTTGGAGCAACTGAGGGAGCACCGGCGGCAGGCCGTGTGTGGCGGCAGCTGGCCAACTTGGAGAGGGAGACGGCCCGTCAGCAAGCGGCCAACCCCCACACCAACCAGACGCAGCCGACAACAAACAGGAAGAGGGCGGCCAGTGAGGTGGGCGGCGACAAGGCAGCAGCAGCAGAGGAGGGCGACGGAGGCCGCTACAGGGGTGGCAAGGCGCGCAAGAAATACCACCAGTCGGGGGCGTTTGACAATTTGAACCGGCCAGAGGATTCATCGCAAATGCATTTTGTCGATCTGTGCGTCCCGCCGTCTGCCTGCAGGGTCTGAGTCTTTGTCAGATGTTGGGAGGCTAAAAGATGATTCGCTGCCTACACTTTATATTTGCACGGTTGTTTGCCAATAGTTACGGTCATGCTGATGACGATTTCTGTCACTCAATGGACACCGAGATTTCATGTCAGTGCATAAATCCATTCATTCGTTGTTCCCATCAGCCGGGGATGCGCAGCGACTGGACAATCGACAGCGCCCTGACATCATCACCACACACACACACACACACACAATCTCTTTGTCCCTCTCTCGCCTCTCTCCCTGGATTGCTGTCTCACTTGTCGCACGGCCTTCGCACCGGTCCTCCTCCTTCGTGTTGAGTGATTGAGGTGAACGCCCACCAGAACATCCGGCAGCTCGTGACGATGTCAAGGTTGGCCATCGCAGCGCACACCTCACGCGCCAACTCATCGTCAGCCGCAGCCTCACGCTCAGCACACACACTGACACACAGACGCATCCGTCGATCTGCCTGATGAGCTTAGCTTACGTGTCTTCGTGTTGTGGTATGTTGATGAGTGTGGTGTGTTGCAGGTCGACCTCCAGCAGACGCCACTCAGACGAAGACAGACGCACTCGACACACACTCACCTGACAAGTCCATGTAATACACACGCATCGATGTCTCTCTCCTTCGTTCCATGTGGCCATGACTTGTGTGTGGGTGGGGGTGAGTCCGGCCAGCTGTGCGATGGACAGCGGCGCGACACTGGACCAACACAGCCCACCACCGACGTCGACACACAGACTCTCATCCACGGCTTTGCACGGCAGCCTGCAGATCACAGACACACAGACACATATCAAATTTCTCTCTCTCTCTCTCTCTCTCTGTGTGTGTGTGTGTGTGAGTGGATTGACGTCACGTGACATGCCGTGCGATGAGTGTGTCTGAGAGCGTTGCGACGGATCGGCACGAGTCGACGAGCCTCGGCATCATGTCGCTCCCACACACCGGCAACTTGAACACACACAACACCTGCACACACACACCCAATGGCATCCATCCATCCCCCTCTCTCTGTGTCTCTGTCTGATTGCCCACCTCAGTACTGTTGGTGGGCAGGTCGGCGCCGATGTGTCCCTGCTGGATGTCCCGCTCGAGTGCGGGGAAGAGCGTCGTGGGCCGGTGGCGCTTCACCTTGGGGCGGCTGGCCAGCGAGTCAGCTGTGGCATTGGTGGGCTCGGCGAGGGGCGGGGAGACATTCGGGTGCAGCAAACTGACGGCCCGCTTCATCGCTGACGGACCGACTGATTGACTGAGTGACTGACTGACTGACTGACTGGCGGAGTGCTTTGCTGTGAGTGAGTCTGTGAGATTGATCGGTTAAATGATTCACATGCACCAGCCAACCAGCCACACGGAGGAATCGGTCGGTCAGTCAGTCAGTCAGTCAGTCAAAAGCAGCCCCTGCAAAAAGGGCCCATGCATGTATACCATACGTATGTCTGTTTGTGTGCCGTGTCCGTCTCTCTCTGTACACAGCCAGCCATCCACGCACCCACGCGACAAGAGACCAACAAACTCAGCACTGGTCTGCATCCTCCCGCCTCCATTCTGCAGACCAATGAGTGCACGGACCACAGCGAGTGAGTCACTCGGCCAGTAACAAGAAGGACCGATTAATCGCTTTGCGATGAGTGGAAGGCAAGCAGATCCCCGATCGGCTGAAAACCGTTCAGCCATCCACGGCATGGGAGAGCTCGACCCCTCCTCTACTTTATCTCTTGGCGGTAAACGACTTCTCCTGCTCCTCTGCGTGCGACTCCTCTTCTCGTCGCCTCCGGTCTGGCCGTGGCGGCGATGGGAAGCTGTCGAAGTCGGGCAGCCCGGTCCCGCCAGACTCACCACCAGACGGCTCTGCGCCCGCCTTCCGCCTCGGTGGCGGCATAGCCACGTCCTTCATCTTCTCGAGCCGCCGCCCAGCAGCAGCAAACCGCCTCTTCCGCGAAGTTGCTGTCTCGCTGTCCTCGTCTTTGTCGGGTGGAGGGGTGGAGGTGTGATCCGGGATGCCCTGATGGTCGCTGTTGCTGGCTGGAGAGAGATGGTCGACAGGGCCGCTGCTAAGAGGCGGCATTTGCCTCTGTGATGACAGACCGTAGCCCCACGGCCGACCCTGCTTGCTGGAGAAGAGGTCTCGGCCGAAGAAGCGATCCTCTCCGCTCTTCTGCCGCTGCGCTCTGAGCTCCTGCAGCACTGTCGCCTCGTCGACCGTCCGAGCCCGATCCAAACGCCTGACGGGCACAAGACAACAGGTCGGTGAGCACACATGTATAATGTTCCGTCTGTGTATTTGTACCATGGATTTCTCTTGACGTATTCCCTCACGTCGCCCTCCCACGTCTCCAGAAGCTCATCTGTGGGATCCATTCCACAGAAGCAGCAGGTCAGCACTCAATCGCATTTACGTGCCTGTGTGTGTGCACTGCTTACACAGGTAGTCTGTGAGCTCGAGCAGAACGGTGTCTTCCTCCTCATTTGGCCCTCGCGCGAGGTCTTCCTCCAAGTGCGGAGGCGGCACAACCGAGTTGTCAAGATACCTCCGCACCTGCAGATAGAAGGGAAGAAGACAGCAAGATGGCTTCCTCTGCCCTGCTCGAATGGCTGTCGTGGCTGTCATTCATCACCTTCCTCAGGTCGGAGTCGACCATGAGTGTGCTCCTGTGGTTGAAGTCGGGATAGATCTGCCAAACACGCTTCAGCTCTCGGAGGTTCCTCACCGCACCGTCAGGATACCTACACAACAATTCACACCCAGAGAGAGAATCGCGATTGCTCAGCAACAAGATGTGTGCAGGCTGACCTCGCCGCTTCAGTGTCGGGCACGCAGTCGTCGAAGTCGAAGAGCGATATCTTTCGATACATCATGCGCCGCCAGTGCTCGTCGGGCTGGCCCGGCAAACCCCACAATCGACGGCTGAGGAACTCAACGATGTTCAGGCCGTTCCACCTGCACAACACGACACACACAGGTGAGTGAGATATTGGCAGGTGTTACGACCGGCAGACAAGCTTTGTTACCTTGTGATTGACGTGTAGAAGCCGAAAGTGACTCGTGGGTGAGAGGTGAGCAGGTGGAGGTACTCGCGCCAATATGGCCTCATGTACAAGAACTGTACACCACTGTGAAACACACATAGGGCAAACACAGCAAGCACATGGATAAGTGGACAGCCGTGCCTCAGATCGTGAGCTCACTTGAATCCTCTTGGCAGCGTCTTGGGCTTGCCGTGCGCCCGACTCAGCACCCGCCTTGGCCTGACACAGCACATACGCAAAAAAGATCCATGCCCGCGCCGCTGTCTGCCCCTTTTGCTCTCGCTTCGCTTCGTCCACCTGAGGCAGATGGTTCCATTGATGTCTGACAGAATCAGCAGCTTCGGCTTGCCCTCGTAGTCCTTGGGATCGAAGTCATACACGCGACAGAGCATGTTGCCGTAGCCGCTCTCGTCGTATGACGGATCGCCACCCGGTGACATGCCGGGCGGGAATGGGACGGTGTCGGGGGGCATGGGAAAAGCAGGCGAGGGCTGGTGGGGGGAGGGGGAGGGGGGCGGCCGCCAATCGTAGACATAGTTGCCTTCATTGGGGTCGTAGTCAACCGAGTCGACGAATCCTGGACGCATGCGGCGTTCGGGCATTGGGGGGTACGGCTGAGGTGGATCGGGCATGATGGGCCGCCTCTCCGGCAGCCTAGTCGTGGTAGGGGGAGGCTTGCTCTCATCCTCTGGCTCGTCTTCATCTGTATCACCGCTAGTCGTCGCGTGCAGACTTGTCACCGGCCTATTGCCGCCATGAGCAGATGAGAAGATGCTCTTCTGCGAGACGCAGTGGATGACCTCCATGCCATCTGCCGTTTCGCCAACATGTCTGCACTCAAACAGACCACTGCGGGCATGCGGAAAGATGTCTGCGGGAAAGGGCATCTTCGGCGGCACAAAGCTGCTCTGCTGTCGAAATACCGTCGATGCAGGCGGCCGAGTGCGATGAAAGCGCTCCCTTCGCTGAGGCGGTGGTCGATATCTGGCAGCAGCAGAGGCCAGATCACTCCCCAGTAGCAGCAGGCAGAAGGCCCAGCAGGCAAGGCGGGGTTGGGTTTTCTTCAGCAGCATCATTAGGCATTTTTTACCCATCCACGGTGGAGCAAGCGACGAGGGAGCAGATCTCCATACATCTCGTCCTGAGCGGTCTCTGAGCGCCAAGCTTGCAGATCTCTGCGAGCTTGAAGCCGATGAGCCAAGAGGGTTCGGAAATCGCGAGAGCCGCCTGAGGCATTCGATGATATCGGAATGGCAGGTTGACACACCGAGGAGCAGGGTGATCGCCAGATGGGGAGGCCTGGCGACTGACAGCGACGCGAACAAGGTGGAAGGCCTGCTGATGCGACAGCCATTCATCCAACAGGTGAGAGAGGAACATGCAGAGCGGGAGAAATGAATGCCGCTCCATGTGCATGGGTGGAAGGTTGGCTCGTCGTGAGTGTGTTTCAGGCGACTCTTGCACTGCCCAGGCCAATGGATTCTGTTGAAGATGCAGAAGCACTGCTCGAATCGATCAAGAAGCAGGTCACCTGCTTGTCGTGTGGATGGGCGGATGGGTGGATGGATGTCAGCATTTCTTGTCCTTTGCTGTGTGGCTGTCCGATCAGCTGCACTGTCTGCGAGTGGAGTCCCTTCATCTCAGCGCCTTCTGCACGGAGCGGTTCGTCAAGGGGGCCGTGCCCCTCACGTCACCACAGCAGCCACGCAGAGGGCCTCGCCAACCTTCTGAGGGTGTGGCCGAGCCACGGTGCGTGTTGGTGAGTTGTGGCCCTTCGATTGATGGGGCAGCAGGGATCGCCGCATTGCTGCCGTCAGGGAAGCTGCTCCTGGCGGTGAGCTGAGCTGAAGGGAGGGAGAGAGAGGACGACATTCGATTGAAATGCAACCACAGCCTGCCTGCCTGCCTCATCTGTGTGTCCGCAGTCAGATCCTGTCAATGCGACTGCACTGGGCATTGACCCTTGCATTCACCATCCAAAGCCCTTCCAGAGAGGTTAGGTGTCACGCAAACAAGACACGAAGGATCAATGGCCCCGCTCTCACCCCTTGTTGTGTGTGTGTTTGATCCATCCTTCCATCAGAGCAAGTGCCGTCTTTGCGGTACTCCATGGTGGATTTGGCGTCGCCGGCCTTTCGCAAGAGCCGCCTCTTCCACCGCACCCACTTCCTCCTCAGTGGCGACCGGTGCACGTCGGGCACCATGATTGGCTATGGGGAGGGGCAGTGTGGCGATCCGACACATGTGCAGCACCTGCTCAGCGAAGACCATGGACAGGTCAGTGGTGGAGTGCACCATTGCATCCTTTGATTGCACCATCCTTTGATCTCCACATTCAGGCCAGAGTGACATCTGTTCCGCTGCAGTACTCGTCGGCACACGTCTCTGACCACCCGTCACCAGACTTCTGCCAGATCACTGGCTTGCTCGAGGCGTGCTGCGGGCCCCCACGCAAAGCCAAGAGAGGCCATGGGCGGGAGGGAGGGGGGCCGTCAGAGGTCTATCGAGGAGGGGAGGCGCCGCTCACGACCGATGCCGAAACGCATGCAAGGCTGGAGCAACAGCTGCGGATCGTAAGTGTATGAAGAGGGCCCTTGTGTAATCAGTCGCCTCATGTGTGCCTCTTCTCTCCTCGTCAGCTGTTGGAGGAGCTGCTCGAGTGGCTGGGGTGCACCCATCTGGACATCCCTGTGCAGAAGGGTCTCTATCCGTGGCTTGTAGAGGATGGCCGTGATGCGTCGGACCTCAGCTTGTGGACTGTGCGGGGCATCCTTGAGCCCTCGCAGCTGCGTCACATGTGGAAGGCACTCAGGTGAGATGCGGATGGCTGGACACACATATCTTAAGATATGCCATTCATTGGTGGTCGCCTGTGTGTGATGCATCGATCAGGGAGAGGGTGTGCAGCCCACAATCAGACCAACGACAGCGATGCACGTGGGGCGCACTGTCCATCTGGTCTGTCGAGGACGCTCCAGTGGCCTTCGACGAACACCCACACGGTGGGTAAATACCCACTGCAGACAGACAGACAGACAGACAGACAGAGAGCGACAATCAAACCAGAAGGCATATTTGCTCCTTGTCCGTCTGCATTGTGTTCATGCCTGCAGGTTATGACATGTGCGGTGCCGCCCACTCGCATTTGGTGTGCTTCAGCGATGGCCCGGCCGTCTGGTGGCTTCTGCTACAGGTACATGTCCGTCCGTGAGTAAGGAGGCAGGGCGTGCAGGTGGGATTAAGTGAGCTCTTTCTTCGCTGCTCCTCAGGTTGTGAACCATCTGGATGCGACAACAGCATGAGTATGTCTTGACCGATGGTGTTTGTGCCTCCATGAGAGACGCGCGAAACCGCAGATGGATGGATGGATGGCTGGCTGGATGTGTACAGAGAGAGAGAGACGGACACAGCACACAGACATACGTATACTGACTCGCTGACTGACCGATTCCTGTGAGTCGAGGTGGCCTTCTCGCGCACAGACCCCTATAGGAAGGAGTACGTGCAGGACCTGACTGAGAGGCGGGGCGGGATGTGGTGGATCTGCTGCTGCGGCGAGGGGCGGTGGTGTACGTGTGCGGCCGGGCGCACCCGATGCTGTCGCAGGTGTGGGACGCGTTTGTGGAGGTGCTGGGTGTGCATGGCGGGATGGGCAAGTCGGAGGCCAACCGGTTCCTGCTGCAGCTGCAGGCCAAGAGGCGATACATATGCGACACCTGGGAGTAGACGTCATGGATGGACACGGGTTAGTGTAGGTGGACGTGTGGATGGTTTTGACTTTTTGCGTGTCTGCGTGCATTGCACGACTCATGTGTCTATGCGTGTATGTATGTGTGTATGTATGTGTGTATGTATGTGTGTATGTGTGTATGTGTGTATGTGTGTATGTGTGTATGTATGTATGAGTAATTGTGCGTGAGGAAACTTCGATCTTGCATCAACCAATTGGTCCAGCTCGAACGCGCGAATGATGCTTCTCGGCTGAGTGCATCGAGATGTGTCGCTCACTGTTGATCGCTCTCTTAAGTGTGGCTGCTGTGACGTCGACTGTGTTTGGCGGTGAGAGCATGGCTGCACAAGACAACAACTCGGTGGCCAGTGAGCAGACAAGCAAACAAGCAAGAACACACACAGGGTAGAGTGATTGCGTGTCTCTGTGTGCGTGCATTAATTCCGCAGCCGACTCTCTCGGTCTCGCCCACGGTAGAACATCATGATTGACCATTGACACGACATTGACTGCACGATCACATTGTCTCTCTCTTTCTTCATTCATTCATTCATTCAGATCGCCTTGATCCCCTCGCCGTCATCCTCTCGCACAGGCGCCCGCACAGGTCAACACATACTCACTGACGGACAGGTGTGGCTTGTGTATTCATCTGTCCATCTGTCCGTCTGTCTGTCTGTCTGTTCTGCAACTTTGTGCGCCACGAGGACCCCGTCGAGGGTTACTGGAAGCTGAGACTCCCCGAAGACCCCAAGGAGATGGATTGGCCCAACTTTGACGATGAGCCGGTCCACTTCGTCTTCAAAATGTGGACGTAGGCGCGTCACGACAGCGCAGAGAGGAGTCACTCCCACGCATCGAGAGCAGGAGTCGTTTATGTGTAAATGCAGGAGTTCTACCTGCGTTGGTGGGGCCTGTCAAGGAAATCGAAGCACGCCCGCCGCCGTCTCGATTCTCACCCGAAGTGTCAAGGGAATCGTCGAGGTAAATCTCACCCGAAGCCGCCCAAGGACGAACACCGAACAGAGAGTGACGAATTCCTGTGAGTATGTTCTGTTACTCATCCACCCGGAGTGACGAACAAGGTACAGACACAGACACAGGCACTGCACTGCACTGCACTGCAGCAATCACGAACAGACCAACAGACACACTATGTATACACAATCCTTTCTCCCTCGCTGTTGTCTGTCAGATCGCCGCCTACATCTTATATCTGAAGACCCTTTCTTGCCCAGCAATGTCCATCGTTGGCCCCCCGCCGGCCAGGTGAGAGTGAGACATGATACTGATTCCATGAATGTCTCATCTGCTGGTCGGTGGTGTTTGCTCAGCTTCCTGTCCGGTGTCAACATCCTCCCGCAGCAGGTCAATCAAATGGAGGCGAGGAGAACACAACAGAGAGCCATGTATGCATTCGTGTTGGTGCTCGAATGCTTCATTCAGTCAAAGGAGGGCCGGCTTTCGAAGACAACGATGAAAGGGGAGGGAGGTCAGGAGGGAGGGAGGGAGGGAGGGAGGGAAACGCGCATGAGTGCAGTGCAAAGTGTGTGTGTGTGTGTGTGCAGGAGTCTGCGTGTGACGGCATCGCTAAACTCGCTCAGGGCAAGACGAATACACAGACACAAAAGACGGAAACGCACACGTGTGTGTGGCTGCTGTGGTCAGGTCGTTCAACTCGAAGTGCGTTGAGTGGAGTTGGAGAGAGACGGACAGACGGACAGACGGAAGTGAACTGACTAACTGACTACTCACTGACTGACTGAAAGACTTTCGAAGGAACTCTCGAGCGACGTGAATGAATGAACGAATGCACCAATCTTGCAGGCCTTGACACTCACCCGCTGACATTGGCACCACACGACCGACACACAAGTAGGCACGCCCCTTAGAAATCCGACATCCATCCATCCATCCATCCACACACGCTCACACCTCCCCCGAACACCTCGTACTCGTCTGCACATACACAAAGGAGACCGGCAGAATAATGTCTGTTCTGTGCACACTGACTGACCACAGCTCTTGATTGTTCATTTCCTCCCGCCGCCAGCCTGCCCATGTGACTGCCCATGAGGCGCACCCAGGCCTACGACAGACACAGACATACACGTTGATGCAGGCACCCACACCACACACGTCGTTTCTGCCTGCGTTCCTTCGCCGGAGGCATCATTCCGTTCTTGCATGGGCAGTGACGCGTGGGAACGAGTCTTGAGATATAAAATGTAGGCGGCGATCTACACACATACAGCGACGGAGACTATATTGTGTCTCCGTATCTGTGAAGCGTGTCTCTTTCAATCAACTCACCACTGTTGAGATCCCATTTTCCGCCGGTGAGAGTGCGGATCAGCCGGATGGCGGCCCACGGGTCGACGGACGGCTCGCTGGTCGCCCTGTGCACCGTCATCAGCTCGTCGGGGCGCAGAAACACATGGCACTTTCCTTCGGCTACAAGAGGCACCACAGCATACCACACCCATATGTATCAGCACACTCATACACACACGTGTGGCTGTGTCGTCCCCTCACAGCCATATGGGCTCTCTGTGCGTGTCTGTGAGAGGACGTACCATCCTGGCAGGCTGACCCCCAGGCCGTCAGGTCAGCCCTCAGTGCCTCGAAGGACTGCGGCGTGCTGTAGTAGATCAGGCCATTCAGCACTCCCGTGTTGATCAGATTCACACAGAACGCACTCGTCGCCACGACAATACGCAGAGCGCCTGCACACACACACACGCACACGCACACAGAGGTGTGTGTACTTGGCTGCTGTGCATATGTGTTAAGAATTGCAGCGTCTCTCTCTCTCTCTCTCGCTCTCTCACCGCTTGCGAACTTGCTCTCGACGTTGGCAAGGTGATTCTTGCCGCGGCCGCCATGGTAGGCCTCCACGGCACCGAACGGACCTACACACGCGTAGACAGAGATGCACACCAATCACACACATGAGCGATTCATTGTCTTATGTGAGCCCCCCCCCCTCTCCCCTCCCCACCTCCCACCTACCGGCCTTTGTGAGTGCTTCCGTGAGTATGTCGGCATCCTGGCGGCGCCACGTAGAGATGAGAATGGATTTCTTGTCCACCCACCGCTCCGACTTGAGGAGCTGCTTGAGCTCTCGGACGCGGTGTGCGTCCCGGCGGGCCTCACTGTAGGTGAAGTCGAAAAACCGTCGATCGCCACCCTCACCCTCAGCGGCAGCAGGCCGCACGCCGTCGGCCTGCTGAGGAGCAGTTTGTCGATCGAATTCGTTTGTCATCCATGCAGGTGTGTACCTCCCCAATAAGTGCCCCACATCAACACATACCTCTGCTGCACAAACGTGACTCATCCTTGGTAGAGATCCTGTGGGTAGAACTCCTCTGCTGCAAACAGACACATGACATGAAAGAGTGACCGTATTCTTTTCGTTTCTCCAGCTGGTGCAGCATACTGGTCATTTCGATGCGAATCCTGGCATCTCTGCTCTGGCCTCCGTTGCCAAATACCTCAACGACCGTACGGTTGAGCTGATGCTCATGACTGAACGCGCATAAATGCGAACACGCAAACACAAAGCATAGACCTCAAATTTGTGAGTTTGTGTGAGCCCCGTCTCACTCCGAGAAGATGATTCGGCTCTCAAACTGAGTGGCAAAGAGCACCGCCAGCGCCTCGTCGAGGGCACTGGGCGTCCCTGTGGGGCACTGCCGCTGGGCCACACGCATGGCTGTGTTGATGGGGACGGCTGCGCTGCGGCTGGCTGTGTATGTGGTGGGAGCGGAGGCGCTTGAGGGACCTGCAGAGGGTGGCACCTCGTGCGTGGCGTCGAGGCTGCTCGAGAAGTCGAGGGCGAGCACGCCATCGCAGGACAGAGGGAGGCCGGATGACGAGAGGGGCTGGGTGGGGGGCAGACGGCCCTCTTTGAGCTCCGCCCAGAAGAGGAAGATGTCCT